GTAATAAAATCTTATATAATGGGATGGAGGAAGTGTTGTACTACATCATTTTGCAATTGTTGTTTAGCTTCTAATATTAACTTGGTGCTTTTAGGTACATATGTCATTGCCAAAGATCCACACTTTGACCCTTTCTGCGTATGGGGCAATGAGATATTTATGAATCAACATCAAGTGAGGAACCCGATAAAGATTGTTATTAAAATGGGTCAAAAGATGTCAATCGAACTATTTCTTTACACTTTATGCAGGACAACAATGAACTAGAAGATGGTAAGTAAGGACTCTGCAACCTTCTTTTTACTACCCGTAATGAGTTGTGTTAGATGACAATGTCGGAATCTTTTTGCTTTGCAAAGGATCGTGAAGCAGTTTACTCAAGATTACCTCTCAAACTACATGATTGGTGGCTGGCCATCACAAGGGGTTGGACTAGAGTCGTGTGTGCCTTCTGCATCCAGGAGAGCACAATAGGGCCATTCCGCTTCACCTTGTTCAGCAACCAGAATGTCTGTCGCCTTTTTCTTTACCATCTGTAATAGTACAAGTATAGAACCATGGTTCATCATTCTTTATTTGGTGATGTAATTCTTGATCATATGTACATGTGAATCGAATAATGCACTAGTTGTTTGAACCTGATGGATATGAATAAAGTTATATCCTACTTTCAAATTCAAATTAGGCACAATTTTAAATAGCTGCAATTAAATTAGGGTGAATTACGGTCTACGGGTCATTACGGCGCACATGGTCTATAAAGCATAGCCTGTGTGATATACATCATAATTCGACATGGTTCATGGAGAGGAAACATGTGTAACCATGCACACAGTTGTCGTTTGTAAAGCGTGTGATGTCAGACAATATCACAAACGGTGCGGGAAAACTAAATGTGTGTGATTGTCAACCTATCGTACAAGGTTTACGCTCATGAATTGTTTGTGATGCGTCAGGCATCGAAAACGTAGAGCTAGTTTGGTACGTGCTTGGAAAACTCTTGTGCCTGGAATGTGCATGGGTTGCGCCTAGTTTTAGGTAAAACCATATAACTCTGACTGCAATGGCAATGCGAGCACAAACAAGTAGCAAGGATGAAGCGTTTGGGATATTCGAGATATTAGAAACAGTTTTATACGGACAACTGTATGCATCAAGGCTCCCTATCCTCGACGGTTTCTGGGTCGTGTGAGATGGGCCCCCTATCGCAGTCACTCGCTTGGCGACGGTTCCAAACGCCATCACAAAAAGGGGATAAAAACCGTTTGTATAGCACCTCGCTGTACTAGTGATTCTTACTTATATAAAAGGGCTATAATACTATTAGTAAATTACTATGCCCAGATGCCCCGTTATCATTGTTGCTCATGGTCACTTCGATAGATTTGGACTTCTGTCTTGGCTTCTTAAACTTTTGCAAGCACTTGGAGGCCCAGTGGCAATCCCACCAAAAATGAATTAACCATATTTCTTCCTTTCTTGTTGTTCTTATAACCCTTCTTCTTGAAGATTGTATTCTATTGGACTACGCAATTTCCCTTGAACTTGTGGAAATTCTTCTCCACCACATTGTCACTAGAAGTCCCCTCGGCTCCTTTAATGTGTGAGTTCTTTGCTCTTAAATTCTTTTCAACACTCGGATGACCGATGACATCCAAAAGTAAGAATTCACTTCTCTGATGTTTCAGAGAAGTAGAAACGTTCCTCCAAGAAGGAGGGGGCTTAGCAATTATGCATCTGATACGTCTCAAACATATCTATAATTTTATATTGTTTCATGATATTGTAATATCACTTTGAAATATTTTTGTAGCAATTTTTCTTGACTAACCTATGAATTCGGTGCCCAGAGGCAGTTGTTGTTTTCCGCATGTTTTTGACTTTTCAGATAATCCATATCTACGAAGGTCAAAAATCCCTGAGATTTAATATGATTTTTCCAAGCCATGAGGATTTTAGAAAGTGTCAGGGCCTGCAGGCGGGGTGCACCCGAGGGCCCACCTGGCCACATGCATGGACCCCCTAAGCAATGCCTTACACACATTGTTTCGCCTATAAATCCCAAACATCGAGAAACCCTCAGTACCATTTTTCTTGATTTTTTCTGCCGCCACAAGTTTCTCTTCCCGGGAGATCCAATCCGGAGGCCTTTTTTCTAGCACCCCGCGGGAGGGGGAATCCATCACCGGAGCCATTTTCATCAACATTTCTGCCTCCATGGTCATGTGTGGATAGTTTTGTTAAGACATTAGGGGCGATTGCAGTAGCTAGATGGCATCCTCTCTCTCTCTCACGAATCAATGCAAAGTACCCGTGAGCTGCCTCACATGGTCGGGATCAGCATGACGTAATCGGTGTTGTGTCTGTTTGGATATGATGAATTGTCGCTTTATGATCAGATTGTTCATTGAATTATGTTGAATCTTTTGAAGTTTCTTTGTTGTATAATTGAGTAGCTATGTATGCTTTCCGATCTATTTGTCGTCTCTGGCAAAGATTGATAGGTGGTTCTTTAGAGGAAGTGGTGCATAGTAGTGGGTTCAATCTTGTGATGAATTTGATCTCAGTGACAATAAGGGATTCGACATGTATTGTATTGTTGCCACTAAGAATAAAACAATGGTTTCTTTACCGCACTTAGATGATAGTTTTATTGTCTATGTTATACCATTGTCCTTATTTTAATAACTTAATACTTCGAGATGCATGTTGAATATCGGTCTTGTGGTGGAGTATTAGCTGTAGATGCAGTTAGATAACGGTTTACGTATCACGGATGTAACGCCTATACAAGATTATGCCATGAATGATCATAGTCATAAAAATAAATATTATGATTTAATCGCTGCCCAACTGTAATTTATTAATTTATTCCTTGCACTACATTTATATGCTTGGAGAAATGCCACTAGTGAACCTATGGCCCCAGGGGTCTATTTTTGTTTACCGAAAGTATCTACAAAAAATACTATTCTTTGTTGTACTGTTTTTAAAATTTTAATTATCTATCAATTCCTACCTTATCGTGCGGTTTACCCTTATAACTAGCAGGACAAGAAGTTGATAACCTTCTTGAAAGGTTGATGGTAAGAGTGTCTTGTGTTTTGTATGCAAGTACCCGTCACTTTGTTTGGTGAAAGTACTCATGTTGGTTCGAGAGAGGAAGTAGCATCCCGCAAGAAACTTGTCCGGTAAGTCACACTTAAGGAGTCGAGTTCCTTAGCGATTCATTGTATCCGATGAGCGTGGTTTAGAACACGGCGGTTCTCAACCATCATGTACTCATGGAACTACTTCATGACATACATCTCACTTCCAACATGAATTGCGCCCAATTTAGCTTTAAGTGCATTCCATAAGTTCTTGGCAACCCGCATATTGAATATGCCTTGACTAGCTTGTCTCCGATCATACTCAGAACGGCTCCGATAAATACGGTTGCCAAGTCCCGCTGAAAGTGTCGTTGCCCACTCTCCATATAATTCCGCTCCAATTTTGGCCATGTTCATTTCTATTTGTTGAGAATGAGCCCATGCTCAATTTTGCGCCAAGGGAGAGAGAGGGGCAATTTTGGCAACCTGCAATACAGAAAATATATTAAGGAGAGGGGAGCCGATGGATATGCTCCGTCGTCATGGAACTAAACTATGAACAACCAGATTTTTCCACATACCATGCCCAACAAGAATGCCATTATTATTTTATCCTCAAAAAGGAAAAATGCCATAATTTTTGCTGGGAAAGTAGGGATCAAAATCTTGGTGGCAACACTTTTAGCAAGGTGGGGCTAGAAGCAAGACGGACCACCTATTTCTAAGAACGCAAGCATTTGAAAACAGGCGCAACACTTAAAAAAGAGCCAAATGCACAGTCGTACAAGCCGCATATATGCGGCTGCACCACTGGACTGGAACTCCCAGTCGTTCATTTGGGCCTCCAATTTGAGCATTGGTCACCGGAATTCTAGAGCCAACACTGTCAGAACTGGCTGTAAAAAATTTCACCACATGAACACATCATGTCTCTACCGTTTTTCCAAAACTAGAAAAGTAACCGGCTACACATGCAAAACCTGCGCGCTCAACTGGAGCAGCAGCCCCCATGTTGGCTCTCAATCACTCCTTGGGCTCCAGCCAGCAGCCCTCGCTCGGCTCAGCTTGGGAGAGCAAGCAAGCAAGCAGTCCCTCTCCTCCCTGAAAAAAAGCTGTCTCTTTTCTGCCCTGCGCCTACACGCATACGCAGATTGACAGCGGCAGCGGCAGCAGCAAGGAGAGAAACAGACTCTCTCTCCTCACTAAATCCCAAATCCTGCTCTTATCATCCTGTTTTCCTGCCTCCCTTCTGCTGCTGCTGCCTCCTGCTCTCCAAAGCTCCCACACACATACACCCAGCCCAAGAGGAGAGAGAGAGTGAGTGAGAGAGAGAAGCCAGCAGCAGCGAAGGCTTTTGCCTCCCTCCCCCCCGCCGCCGTCCCCCCTGCTAAAATGTGATGTCCAATCCATCAGATTGCTTCTAGTTCAGTCCCCCACTCCTCTCCTGGGTCAGTCCCTTGCCCACCGCTGTTCCCCCTCATGCACCCTCCTCCGCCTTCTTCCTCCTCTTCTTGATTCTTCTCATGGTTTTTCCTGCTTCTTTTTCCTCCTAGTTATGGGATCCGGCGAGCTGGATGGACGCGCATTGGAGCAGCACCAGTAGCGGGGGCGAAGCTGCAGCCGGGGGATCTGGATCCGAGGCACCACCACCGGGGCCCTCACGGAGGCGACGGCGCAGGAGGAAGAGGAGGTGGAGGTGGAGGTGGCGGCGGCGGGCAGCAGGAGGCTGCAAATGAGGAGCAGCAGCAGCAGCAACAACAGCACCACCACTACCGGCTGCTGCAGCTGCACCAAGAAGTGCAGCAGGACCAAGAGCCTCCGCCCGCCCCCGTCTTCCAGCTCTCGCACCTGCAGGCCGCGTCCGTGAGGCAGCCGGGCTCGTCCGCCGAGTATGCCCTTCTCGCGCCCATGGGCGACGCCGGCCAGTCCCACCATCACCACGGCCTCCACACGCAGCTCCTGTCTTTCGGAGGCGCCGACCATCACATGCATCAGTTCACGGCGCAGGCACAGCCGCCCGCGGCGTCCCAGACGCGGGCGCGAGGAGGACGAGGCGGCGAGATGGTGCCGGCGGCGACGCCCGCGCGGGTGAGGGGCGGCGGAGGCGGGGAGATCGTGGCGGTGCAGGGAGGGCACATTGTGCGCTCCACCGGGCGGAAGGACCGGCACAGTAAGGTCTGCACGGCGCGCGGGCCTCGCGACCGCCGCGTGCGGCTGTCGGCACACACGGCCATCCAGTTCTACGACGTGCAAGACCGGCTGGGCTACGACCGCCCCAGCAAGGCCGTCGATTGGCTCATCAAGAACGCCAAGGACGCCATCGACAACCTCGACACCCTTCCCGCTTGGCAGCCCACGGCCGTCGCCCCCTCCGCCAGCAATGCCGCCGCGCCGCCGTCCTCCTCCACCCAACCTGACTCCGCCGACAACTCGGACGACCAGGCGCAGGCCATCACCATCGCGCACTCGTCGTTCGACTTCGCCGGCTCTGGCGGCGCCGGAGGAGCCACGGGCGGCATCAGCTTCCTCCCGCCGTCGCTCGACTCGGACTCCATCGCCGACACGATCAAGTCCTTCTTCCCCATGGGCGGGACCGCGGGCGGGGAGCCGTCGTCGTCCACTGTGGCTGCCCACTCGTCGGCCATGGGTTTTCAAGGCTACACACCGGACCTCTTGTCGCGAACCGGCAGCCAGAGCCAAGAACTCCGGCTGTCACTGCAGCCTCTACCAGACCCTATGTTTCACCACCACCACCACCAGCAGCAGCAGCAGCAGGAGCAGCACCGGTCGCATGGCCACGACGGCAACGGCACCGGCCAGCAGGCACTATTCCCCGGTGCGGCCAGCTACTCATTCGGCGGTGGCGGCGCCATGTGGGGCGAGCAGGCGGCGAGCCAGCGCATGATGCCGTGGAACGTGGCCGACCCAGGCGGCGGGAGCACCGGCGGCTACCTGTTCAACGTGTCGCAGCAGGCGGCGCATATGCAGGCGGCGCTGAGCGGCCAGAGCCAGTTCTTCTTCCAGAGGGGACCCCTTCAGTCCAGTAACCAGCCCTCCGACCGAGGATGGCCGGAGACCGTCGAAGCTGACGACAACCACCCGATGCAGCAGCAGCAGCAGCAGCACCAAGGGGGCTTGAACCCCTCCGTGTCGGCCATCGGGTTCGGCCCCGGCGTCAGCTTCTCCGGATTCCGCGTCCCCGCGAGGATGCAGGGCAACGAGGAGCACAACGGCGGCAATGGCGACAAGCCGCCGTCCGTCTCCTCGGCTTCCCACCACTGACAGCAGCAGTGGACGACAGATGACTTCACCACCAACCAACCTCCACAGTGTACCAGTAACGACATGAGCCAGCCATCAGCTCCTCCACTTGCATCACTGTGAGAATCCTAATGGCCTGACTGACTTGTACAGTCGCAGTACTATAATTCTGCCTGTTCTCCATTACTGCATTGCCGTCGACCCTTTCTTGAACTGCATCATCCTCTTGCAGGCCGGCGCTAGTTTGATTCCACTTCTTCACACAGTAGGAGCGGGCGATTGCAAGTAGCTAGGAGGAGCAAAATCTTCACACGAGTCGGCGATTGCAACTCTACGTTTGGTTGGTTGGTCGATTGGGTTTCCATCTCTTGTGCTGCGCGTGTCATTGGTTTTTGCTTCAAGATCACTCGGAGCTTCTTAGGCTTTGTGAGAGTGCAGCGACATAGCTAGCTGGTTAGCCAGCCAGCCAGCCTCTGTGTTGCGTTGCATTAGGTGTAGTTGATGCTGTAGGTCACGCTTAATTTGCTTTCTTTCTTTCACTTGTTGATGTATGCATGGATGCTTTGCTTCGCCCTGTGGGTTCAGGACCCGGGAGAAGCAACGGTGCTACTACCTTAGATGTTGTTGTTGTCAAACTTATAAATGGATGATGGATGGGGAGAGGAGTCTATCACTCCATCTCCATCTTTCCATCCTTTTTGGTCACAGCATCATCTTTCCATCTTTCTTTCTTTACTGTCACTACTATAAGCAGATGTTGATTGGTGCCTGTCGTGGAGTATCTTCCCTTGACATCTTTTTATGTTTATATTATATGCTGTGCAACCGAATCCAACCTTGTTATTTCTATCCAGCCTCTCTTGTTTTTAAAGACCTGTTTGGACCTGGGAAAGAACTTGCTCAAAACAACCAGAAGGGATGGATTTAATGCAAACTTTTAAGCTTCAAAAATACAACAACCGCAAGCTCCCATGGCTGTGGCTTGGATGGCCTCAGGCTATAGTTCGCTACAGTACATCCATTCTCTGCTAGCCTATCCATGTGATCTGTTGGGTCTCTTTCGTCCCTGCCGCCGCAGCAGCAAGCCAGGGCAGGAGGAGGCAGCATGCATGGCAGCGGCAGCAGATGCAGCTTTCCTGGCCCTCTGGATCTACATAGCACCGTGCCAAGGCAAAGATTGTCACAAGGAAAAGGCTGTGCGTGTGTGTGTGTGTGTCATTAGTACTACCATCTGCCTGTCTTACATGCGCCATCAGCGAGTCAGTGGCACGGTACAAGCGCTTTTAACCATTTTACCTAGTGCCAGGCCCTTGTCTTTGCGCTCACTGATGCAGCACTTTGTGACAGATGCCAGAAAGAGGGAGGACCATGATTGCCCCTCCCTCTTCGCCTCTCTGATTGGCTTCCACATGGAATCTCTTGTCTGTACTCACTGTAACTTTAAGCTGCTATGGTAATTACTTCTGGCCTCTGGCCTGTGGGAGATGATATGAGTGCATGCATGTTCTGGATCTCATCATGCAGCCACCTTCGCTTCCGTCCCTTCTCCCCCCCGGTACGCTATGGACTATGGAGTCCCCATAGACGAGAGTACTTTGTTGGGAAAACGGAATAAGCAGTGGCAGTGCACTGTTGTGTATGCATCCCCACAGCATTACTCCTACTGCAAGTGGTTAACAATGGCTTCACAGGCTTTTAGCCTAACTGCGTGGTGCACGGTGGTCCTAATGTCGTTTTTGGTTGATTTTTCGGTGTGTCTAGCTTATTTGGCATTATGACAAAAGAAAAGACTGCTTGTGAACCATTTGATTTTTGCTCTTTGCTGTTAGTTGGTATGAACACTAATGGTCGCTTCTATTGCTTGAAAAGTGGCTATTGGCTGAACTGAGAATGCTCATAGATGAGCAAGTCTAAGTGGCAGGTCCATACATATTGGACTTTTCTTGGTGAAAATTCAAGCTACACATCTATTTGACTATTTTGACCAACTATTCAATAATGGTCACCATCAATTATATGTGTCAACAGTTCTTTATGGGAACCTCCTTTTCGAGTGTCGAAATATCTCAAATGTTGAACCTTGGATAAAGTGCTAACTTAAGAATAAAAATAAATGTAGTATATCATCGCCTGCACCGCCATGTATGAATAGACTAGACCGGCCCGACGAATGGGCAATGACGGTGTCCTGGATTAGGGGGCCCTAACCTAGTCATCTCATTCTCCTCGGGTTGGGCCGATGGGCCCTCATTCCTGGTCAAGATGGACTCCGGAGGCCGTATGCAGGAGGTGTGATCAAGACTACCTCCACTGAAGACTTGACGTATACTCCAAGATATCTGCTGACGCCTTGCTCCTAGATACTGAACTTGTAACCCTAGATACCCTCCCTGGCGTATATATAAGCCATAGGGTTTAGCCCGTAGAGGGAACATCAATGCAAAATCATTCACCTAACCCTAGAGTTAGACCACACATCACGATCTCGAGGTAGATGAACTCTGTACTTGATACATCTTCATCAATATAAACAAGAGCAGGACGTAAGGTTTTACCTCCATCAAGAGGGCCCGTGTTGGGGAACGTTGCCTGGGAAACAAAAAATTTCCTACGCTCACCAAGATCGATCTAGGAGATGAACATCTACGAGAGGAGAGATTGCATCTACATACCCTTATAAATCGCCAAGCAGAAGCACTAAGAAACGCGGTTGATGTAGTCAAACGTCTTCGCGATTCAAGCACGATCCGTCCACGAACTCCGATCCAAGCGCCGAACGGACGACGCCTCCACGTTCAACACATGTACGGTTTGATGACGCCTTCACCTCCTCGATCCAGTGACTGATGGTGAAGTAGTAGCTTGAGTCCTCCGGCAGCACGACGGCATGGCGGCGGTGGTGGTGGAGCAATCTCGGTCGAGCTTCGCTAAGCTACGCGGAGAGAGATGAACTACGAGGGAGAGGGAGGGTAGTGTCATGGCATAGATGGGTGCGGCTGCCCTCCCTCTACCCCTCTATATATAGGGGGAAGGGAGGAAGGGCATCCCTAGGGTTTCCCCCAGGGGGCGGCGGCCACAGATAGGGCGCCCAGGGTTTGGGTGCCCCCCTCCCACACGTGCCTTGCCCCCCAAGCAAGGGGGAGGCTTCCCTAGGGGGGCGCACCACCCTCCTAGCGGTGTGGGATGGGGTAAGGGGGCGCTCAGCTTCTTAGTGGGCTGGTGTGCTCCCTTCCCTTGGCCCACGAGGCCCCCAACACTTGTCGGGGCCGCCCGAAACCCCTTTCGGTCTTTCGGTGATTACCCGATACCCCCCGGAACAGTTTCAGACTCCGATTACCTCCGTCCTATATATCAATCTGCACCTTCGGACCATTCCGGAGTTCCTCGTCATGTCCGGGATCTCATCCGGGACTACGAACAACCTTCGGTCACCACCATAACAACTCAACTATACTTATATCGTCACCAAACGTTAAGTGTGTAGACCCTGCGGGTTCGAGAACTATGCAGACATGACCGAGACACCTCTATGGTCAATAATCAATAGCGGGACCTGGATGTCCATATTGGTTCCTACATATTCTACGAAGATCTTTATCGATCGAACCTCGATGCCAAGGATTCAGCTAATCCCGTATGCAGTTCCCTTTGTCTATCAGCATGTTACTTGCCTGAGATTCGATCATCGGTATCTCCATACCTAGTTCAATCTCGTTACTGGCAAGTCTCTTTACTTGTTCCGTAATATAAGATCCCGTGGCTAACTCTTTAGTCACATTGCTTGCAAGCTCATTGTGATGTTGTATTACCGAGTGGGCCCTGAGATACCTCTTCGTCATACGGAGTGACAAATCTCAGTCTTGATCCATGCCAACTCAACAGACACCCTCGGAGATACCTATTGAGCATCTTTATAGTCACCCAGTTATGTTGCGACGTTTGGTACACACAAGGTACTCCTCTAGTGCCAGTGAGTTGCATGATCTCATGGTCATAGGATAAATACATAGACATGCAGAAAACAATAGCAATAAACTTGATACGATCATACGCCACGTTTATAGTTTGGGTCTTGTCCACCATATCATTCTCCTAATGATGTGACCCCGTTATCAAATGACAACTCATGTCTATGGCTAGGAAACCATAGCCATCTTTGATTAACGAGCTAGTCTGGTAGAGGCTCACTAGGGGCACTTTGTTGTGTATGTATCCACACATGTATTTGAGTTTCCGGTCAATACAATTATAGCATGGATAATAAACGATTTTCATGAACAAGGAAACATAATAATAACCACTTTATTATTGCCTCTAGGGCATATTTTCAACAGTCTTCCACTTGACCTAGAGTCAATAATCTACTATTACATGGTAATGAATCTAACACCCATAGAGTGCTGGTGTTGATCATGTTTCGCCCGTGAAAGAGGTTTAGTCAACGGATCTGCAACATTCAGATCCGTATATACTTTGCAAATGTTTATGTCATCCTCCTTGACTGCATCGTGGGTGGAGTTGAAGCGTCACTTTATGTGTCTGGTCCTCTTGTGAAACCTTGGTTCCTTGGCTAGAGCAATGGCACCAGTGTTGTCATAGAACAGAGTCATTGGGTCTAGTACACTAGGTACAACTCCAAGATCTGTCATGAACTGCTTCATCATGACACCTTCCTTCGCTACCTCCGAGATAGCTATGTACTCCGCTTCGCATGTAGAATCAGCTACCATGCTTTGCTTGGAACTACACCAGCTTACTGCTCCTCCATTCAGAATATATACATATCCGTTTTGAGACCTAGAGTCATCTGGATTAGTGTCAAAGCTTGCATCGACGTAACCCTTTACGACGAGCTCTTGACCACCTACATAAACGAGAAACATTTCCTTGGTCCTTTTCAGGTACTTAAGGATATTCTTGACCGATGTCCAGTGATCCACTCCTGGATTACTTTGAAACCTTCTGGCCATACTTATGGAAAGGCTGACACTGGTCTTGTGCACAATATCGCATACATGATA